TCAATTGGTTTTACATAACTTTATTCGTTACTTGGTCGATTTAAGATTATATTACTTACAAAGTTAATTCTTATTGATACGGGGTGGGAGTTGTGATCGGGAGTAGGGTTTGTTTATATTGATGACTAAGCATTCCCACGGGAATCGGCCTCGGTGGTCTTGTTTATTATAAGACCGGGACAAATTCCTATGCATTTGTTTATATGAAAAGATGATCGATTACGATTGTACATGTAACGATCTTTATGTGTTTATAATAAGGACTTGAATTCGGTAGATAGGTATAGGAGTATCGATGGGAATGTTTACGCTTGGTCCCCTTTGTTTATATTAAAGTGTATCGAACTGGAATCACGATAGAGATTCCTTTATGCTAATGTTTATATAATAATGCGACTAAGAGACGCTTTGGATGTCTCTAGTTCGTTAATACACTATACTAATAATAATAATTACAATAATAATGGTTGGACACAACAATTGTGATATATAAATTATATTGGAAGAAATATTATTAGAATGTATAAACGTAAAATGTTTGAAGAAATTTCATTAAATTTCTGGAATTTATTTATTATTTATGTTAAAAATTAATTAAAAATACGAGAAAAAAATTGTTAATTTGTACTTTGATTAGGATATTTGTAATAACTGTAGTATATTAAGGAAAAAATATCTAAAAGGAAATATTCTATAGATTTTAATAAATGTATATGATTTAAAAAATGTTAATAAAATCACAGCCAAAGTTGAGACTGTGATTATGAAAATCTATTGTAATAATTATATTATTTCAAGCAAAATGTAATTCTTGAAAGAACCCTTGAATATTTTTGATATGAATTGTATTAAAAAAATGTAATAAATGGTCTGAACAAATGTAATAAAATTAATTAACTTTTATTAATACAGCCCTAATTCCAAGTAATTAAACTGCGATAAAGTGAGCGTGGGGTAGAAATGAAGCAGACGTTTTACGACAATAATCAAGAATTAATTACACTAATTACAGTTGATGAAGATACATGCATCGAAGATCAATATTGAGAGCTACGACTGCGGATGTCGGTTTTATCGATCGGTTACCGAACACCTAGTATCCATTATTTACAGCATTGCTGAGGACGTCGAAATTACAATTTCATCCAACTGGAAAGAAGGGAAATTTCTCGTTTCTGTAACGAAACACACGCGTTTTTATTGCTCCAATAGGATGGAAATATTTTACATCCCATTAAAAAGATACAAGCTTTTCTGTAACTCTCTTCAAATCATTTTACATAAATCATTTGATGAAATAAAACCCAGTTCTTTTTCCAAATTAATTATTTACTACTATTTTTTTAACGAGTTTAACTTGGGCCGTAATAAAAACTGGGAGATTAATCATTATGAATGTTTTCGTGTTATTTACAAGCATTTCTGTAATCCTCTTCAAATATATGATTTATTAAAGAGTTTTTTAAATGAAACTTTTAGTGTTGTTTGCTTTTTTTGCGTATATAATTGGAATTCCGAGAAACTTTCGTTGCGCCGTATTAAAAACTGCGAGATTAATCAGCGAATCTGTATGAGTGTGTTTTCGTGTTTTTTTTTTAACCGTTTCTGCGGAATAAAAATCGATTACGTAAATACCGAGAATTCTGGTTTAAAACATTTATATCCCGGTTTGTATTATAACAATCAATAAGCGGTTTTTGTGTATAAGGATTTTTTTTTCAGTTGGAGATCGTCGTGCCTTTTTGAATGTAGGTTAAGATGGAGAGACAGCAAGTGCTGTGTAACTTAATCTGGTTCTCGAGTCATTTAGCAACTAGTGCTGGACCATCAATATCCTTTAAGGACATTATGATGGATTGGTCGACTTCCTCTCTATCTAGATCTTTTATCTTTGGCGTGTCTAACATCTACTATTCCTGAAGTTTTTCGTGTCTGGACACGATCCACAAACTGGAGCAAGAAAGGGGATGATGTGACTCGAGGGCTGACCGAAGGAACTACTAATTGCTTTCACTAATTAATCACAACGAACTAATCAATGATTACGGACAAAATTCTAATTTAATTTATCAGAATAACATTTAATACTTCATATAAAACTTCAATTATTATGTATAATATATTTTCAATAAAATGGAATTTCGGTTGTCGAACATAATTTGTTTCTCAAAACTGTTCGAAAACCGAATTATTTAAAACTATTTTCCTCATAAGAATTTATGTAAAGAGGACATAATCTCGAAACACAAAATATCTTTTAGAAATCATAATTCATCCATAAAATCGTATAGAGACTATAAAAATTCGAGAACCGTGGTTTTACCGTATTTGTTAATATTCATATATTATTTAAAAAATATATCAGTATACAATGTATAAATTAACGTACTTGTCAAGTACCGTGACAAGTATATTCGATATAAACACTTAACAAATATTAATTTACGTAAGTATAATTCTACTATACTCACACTTCAAGTAGTACTTGACAAGTTACTTTTTCAACTCCGTTAGGTAACAGTTGATATTTTTTTCTTTTCTTATTATTGTAGCTATAGTTCAAATATTGTGAACAATTTTTTTTAAATATTTAAATGGAACTTTGGTTGTCGAACAAAATTTATTCATAAATGCTGTTCGAAAACCAAATTATTTCATCAAACTATTTTCATCATAAAAATGTATGTAATGGTATAATCTCAAAACACAAAATATCTTTTAAAAATCATAATTCATGTTTAAAGTCGTATAGAGATATAATAAAAATAATATTTCAGAAATATTTGTTGAAAAACAAAACTTTTCTAATATTATTATAAATAAGATGACAAGTATATTTACTTATGAAATACTCGATATAAATACTTTGCAAATACACTTCAAGAAGTATTTAACAAGTTACTTATTTTTTAAATACAGTCTAACTTCATAAAGGCTGTTCGAAAACCGAATTATTTTAAAAATTTCTTCCAATATATGCATATAATCCATTCACAAATTGCAAATTAATGTTTTTCTAAAATATTTTTTTTTAAATATTTTTGGAAAACAAAACTTATACGTGTCAAATATATTTACTTGTTGAAATACTCGCACTGTATCGATATAAAGACTTTTACCAAATACGAATATTCTATATGTACGTATAAATTGCATTGACAGATAAGCGGTACTTGCCAAGTTACTTCTTCAACCTAGTTACATAATTTAACCTATAATCAATAACCGTTTGCAACAGTTGATCATTTTTTATTTAATTATTATGATTATATAAATATGTTTTAATATTTTATTTGATGTCATTTCTATAGTTCAATTATTATCAACAATATTTTACAACTTCGGTTGTCGAACAACATTTGTTTATTTAAAAGCTGTTTGAAAACCGAATTATTTTAAAAATTTCTTCCAACGTATGCATTTAATACATTCTCAAAGAGCAAATTATGGTTATTTTTAAACCTTCAAACTTGTAATTCGTGAACCGAGGTTTCACTATAATTATACAATTTATAAATAAATTTACTTGTCAAGTAAGGTGTGCTTCACAAGTTACTTCTTTATTAACGTTACGCAATTTGTTTTAATTTTTTATTAGTTTTTACTGTAATAGTTCAGTTACTATGAACAATTAAACTAAAATTAAACTATGAACTAATTTTGTTCGATTTTTTTTTAAACACTTCTGCACATAAGAATTAATATAAAGTGCATATAATTCAGTCTCATAATTGCTTATTTGAACCTGTAAAATAGTATGCATAAAATCGTATACTAAAACAAAATAAATATACTTGTCAAGTAACAAGATAAGTATATTTACTTGTTGAAATAATCGTACCGTTTCGATATAAAATATTGCACTTACAAAATAATTATTACTTGACAAATTATTTGTTTAACCGCTTTACATAATTTAATTAAAAATAATTCATTAAAAAAGGAATTCAATGAAACTATTATAAACAAAAATATAGTCCAGACATCGAAATAATATATGCAGTTTTTTTTTAAATCTTGTTCGTCAATGTTATCTGTAATAAATTATTTCTTTTACGGTCTAGACTGGAGTCGGAATTTAATACAAGTTTTTTTTTATTACGTTTCATTCATCTCGTTCATTGTTTGTGTATATTTCCGAGAAACGACAATGTTTTTTTTTGTTGCATTCCTTTGTGCTCCTCGAAAATAGTATTTTTTTGTTAAATTTATTTTAGATCATTGAATGAATTTGTTTGCATAAAAACTTAATTAATGAATTAAATCAAAATTAACAGTTAATTCTCTAATTATTTAAATTTGTATTCTTGTACTAACATAGGTATTTTTATGTAATATTTTTTACTTATTTGATTATATAATACTTAAATCCTGATTGTTTTTCATTAATTAAATTATAATATTTGATTAACAAATAAATATATTAATGAAATAAATATAAAAAAATTGTTACTTTTTTTTATATATTTATTTCTTATACCATATCAAATATCGGTTTTAGTAAGTTCAAAGTTTTGGATTTCTTTATAAATTTTCTTCTGATTAGTTAAGTTTTCAGAAACTGAAATAAAGGTTCTTGATTGCGGCACAACACATTTTTAACATAGTTTGTCGAACACAAGTGTTTTCTAGAAGCGACAACATAATTATTCGAAAACGGAAATCAATTTCTCTATAAAATAAGGAAATAAAATTAAAATATGTATATAAACCGAAAGCCCCAATGATTACATGACATCGTTAAAATCATATAAAGATAACAAAAGAATATTTTGATTTTAGGTATATTTTTTTTATTACATAACGGAGACTTTATATATCTCTGATAATTAATTATAAAGATTAATGTATTTGATGTTGACGCTTTTAGAAAGTCAAGGATGTGGAAAGTTTTTAACACATTTAATGTAATTCTCTGATTATTTGAGTTCTAAGAAACCGAAGGAATAGTTCGTGATTATGGTATTGCATGCATATTATATAAAGAGTATAGCTTTTACCTGCGGTGTGATATGAGGTGGTGATAAGGGTGCTAGTGGACACGAAGGCCGATGGCTTTGCTGGAATTTAGGTTGGTATGGTTCCAGCATTCGTATTTTCCCCCATCGATTGAAGAACAATGCTATGGCTGCAACCCATATCATTAGGACGAGGACCACGAGCAGAACCTCTTCGGCACGAACTATCACTACTGGTCCTCCTTCTGCAAATACCAAATACCATTTGTATATTATACGCACATATATATAAATCATTGATTCATTCGAATACAAATATTTAAAATATATTTAAACCTTGATTAACACGGTTTTTAATTTACACGCATGTGACAACCCTTGTATTAAACGGTATTTCTTCTTCTTCCAGTTGACAATGTTTTCTAAAATAAAAATTTGGAACCAATGGACCATTTATAAAGGGTGTCCCGAATTGAACTGATATTTTAATTTTTTATCATGACAGCATATAAAAATCTCTGCTCTAGTTTAACTGCAAAAATAATGGCAGCAAATTTAAAATGCCAGTTCCTTTTGGGACACTCTTTATATAGATCTAGACTAGCGCTTTGTCAACTCATGGACTTTGGAGCCGCATACGGCTCTATGAATTAATAATTGTAACTCTTTTTGTTATTGAAAAGAAATCTATTGGTTCTTTTGAACCATTGGTTGCTTATACATGTAATATCAACTCTTCACTCCAATGAATTTGCCGACCTAAACTATCAAGTAACGTGCGACTCAGAAATATATTTTTTAACATATGTAATCTTAAATACGGCTCTTCATTCCAAAGTGATTGCCGACGCCCAATTCATATTATCAAAAAACACGGTTTTGAATAACACGGAACCAATTAACTGCGTTGCCTGTAGTAAAATTTATATAATATTCACGTTTTTTTTGGAATCGTTGTGTTTGCATGCAAATGAATTATGTAATTCTTTGAGTTAATCTGGCGTGTTGGGGTTCTCGTGTTTGGTATTAATTCATGCACGAATAAGTGGCGGCAAAATACGGATGAAATGAAAGTATGCGGATTAAAGGGTGGACGTTTATGTGTTTGGAGGGAAAATTGTTATTGCCTGCGACATTCCGAAAGCCTAGATTTGCCGGTGAAAGTCGAACAACTTCAACAACTTTTGCCGCGAACGTTCGTATGATTTCAAGCTTTCTATTCAAATTGGGAAAGCCCTTAAGTGCATGCAAATGATCGAATGTATAAATGCAAAAACAAGAACAAGGAAATACAATTGTGTTCGTCGTAGGTGTAACGATAAATTCCACAATCGTCCTCACTAAATTGGACTAATCTCGTGGTTATATAACTCTGGGTAATCAGGAGATGGCGGGATTAAACCTCGACGATTCCACGCTATAACATTAATTTTCTTACGGCATTAACTTCTTTACTTTGTTCCATTCCATAAAAGCTGATATTAACTCAAGTAATTCTTTAACGTTCAAGATATATGTGAATTTAATGTGTAGAAGAGAATTGTGGAATTTAAACTATTTTAATCAAAATTTTGTATGGATATAATTTGTAAGATGTTATTGTCTTTCCGTTCAAAATTAATTATTTTATTATTCAATTAACTAGAAAAGTTGCCTAAATTGGACCGGAGAAATAAAATGGAGAAAAAACATTGTATTAACTACTAGTTCACATAAATCAAAGTAATATAAAGGGTATATATAATCAAAATAGTCAGATTATATAATTTTTCAATTATTTGTAAAAGTTGCCTAAATTGGACCGGTGAAATAATTAAAGGAAAACAACAATAAAATAGTTGTAATAACTACTAAGTACTATAAATCAATATCAGAAAATATGATTATAAATTTTCTTAAGAAAACTGAAATTAAGTTAATTTATTGGATCGTCTGACACATAATTTATTTACTTTTTTTTACAATTATAAAATACATTTTTTTGAAAAATAATTGATAAAATTTTGAAGGTACAAATAAAAAATATTTTGTTCTCTTCACTTTCTTCTTTCCTTAAATATTCTCTGTATAAAAATGCTCAGCTAATCCGAAATTCCTACAATATATATCATTACCACTGTCAACAAAGAAGTAAATATAATGTTCATATATGAATGGTTGAGCTGTATTTTACTTTTTTCTGAGCTTTTGTGACATTTATTTTTATCTTTTCAGTCCTTGATAGATATTTCAATGTTAGTCGGACGTGTAAAAGAAAATAAATGGAAAAGGAAGAAAAGAAAAAGGTCTACACTCTTTACTTCGATGACCAAAATTGGAATTTATCATGAGTCATATAAATCTATATATCCTTTATGTATGTCAACTGCTTGTTAAATCGATGCAATATATGAGTACCCAATATTTCTAAATCTTGAATGTTTTAATCCTGCATTGATTTTATATTGTTCTACATTTAAGAATTTTAGTAAAGTTGCTTAAACATACCAAATTTTATAATTAATATCAATTGTACATATGGGAATATATGAATAGTTTTAATTTTGCAACAATGTCAGTCTCATTAAAACAACTAGTTTCCTGGGATGGACTAATGGTATAATTTAATTTATAAAAGTACTTTTTGATCTTTAGTATATTTTGAATACTCAAAGATCAAATTTCATGTTACTCGTGAGTTTTGTTCCCGAGTTTTTGTTTTCACATAAATACAAAATTATGCAATGGTTATTCTCATATTATTTCCAGTAATTTTCCATTACAAAGCGATATAAGTTTTATTTATCAAAAAATATATTTGTCAATGATTACAAGAGTGAACTAGTTTCCTAGGATGGACCAATGGTATAATATCATGTATAATTTAATAAATAAAAATATTTATTTATCTTTCATACATTATGAAGTTTCATGCACTGTAGCATTATGTAATGAGTTTTTTATTTTGATTTCGATTATTTTCATTGAATCATTCCCAATTTACTAACAAAATGATTGCAATTATTTATCCTACATTTACAGTTAGGTAGATAATCGGAAATCTATAATAACTAAAAAGTAGATGCGTTTTTACATTGTTTTTTTCAAATTTCGTCAAATGTGCGTCTTATACTTGGGAGAAATACGATAATTATATATGAGAGTATAATTGACTATAAAACGAGCCACAGATCAACAATACTACAACTATACACATCAACAATATTAAACTTAAGTATTTTTTTTTTCATTTTCTAGTTTTGATTTAATTTGTAAAAGTTGATTTTTGTTGCTAATTAATCCATGAGATTATGGATTAAACCATTTTCATAGCATTTTGAGTACTGTAGATGTTGTTGAAAGCAAATAATTTATAAACATATATAATATATATTTGAGATTTGAATGGAAACCAACGCATTTTTCAATTTCCTTTCAAACGAGCTGGGGAGAACTCAGTTAATTTAGATAAGGGCAAAACTGTTTACAGTCAAAGCACACTCCGTGAATTCCAAACTCGATGTACTTCAAATTTGACCTATATACATGGCATTACGACACTAAGCACGTGCAACTCCATTAGCAAGAAAATTCCACTTCAATTATCATTAGTTTTAATGTTGGTATGATCATATGCATAGTCAGATTATCTATTATTAATCCAACATACTACAATTACCTAAAAATAATACAAAAAACATTAGTAAACAATTATTTTATAATGCATAAAGTCTGTTTTTTAATTGTTTTTTATCGTATTGAAGGACGTTAGTGGAACGAAAACATTTCGCCTATAAAAATGTTTACAATCAAAACACGGTTTTTCCAATATCTTTGCTAGTCGTTTCTAATCTGGTGGAAAGTTCCTTCGGAGAGAAAATGGATTATATGCTTCACTTTGAATGAGTACACCTGCCATTCCGGCGTGGCGAACTTCATTCAAATCTATTTAAATACACTTCCCCTTAATAATGTCAACAGTTTTGTCTTCATTTTTAAATTTAGTTTATTTATTTTTCGCAAGTCAAACATAAACATTATCAAACATAACTAACTTTTTTTTATATAAGAACTGTGAAAACATATAAATAAAATATTATTGATTGGAAGTTGCATTTATTTATGTATACTTACAAATTTTTAATGCAATAATTTTTGTTATTATTTAGGGTAAATATTTTCCTTATTTAAACATATTTATGTCCACAATTTGGACCTTACTAGAATTTTTATTTAAATAATTGCTGGGAAAAATATTATAGTTTTTCAGTTCAACTAACTTCTGTACTTATCTAATAAATTTCGATTACACATCAAAGTTTTATACGATATAAGTTATTTTATTGAAAAAAAAAACAAATATGTAAAAAAAATCGTTCGGAAAATAATTTCGTTTTTATAACAATGTAAAAATTCCATTATCTTGTAGAAATTTTTTGTGTTCTTATTATATGGTTTGTTTTAAACAACATCTATATTTTATATTAATTACCTTGTACTAATCTTTCAGAATGTAATACTTCTGTAGTATTGAAATTTTCCGAACAAAGTTTTGAAATCCAGTTTTGGTACTGGCTTTCTATTAACACATCTTTTCCATACACATTTCATAACTACTTCTTGCTTAGACTTCTTTCAAATTATTGCACAAAATATTTGTTTGTATAAATTAATCTTAAAATGTCAGTTCTCAAAACATTATGACAAAATAGAACAAGTTGAATGAAAGTCACTGGTTAATAATACAACTTACAACGTAGAAAAAAAAACAAAATTACTTTCCAAACAACCAAATACTTTCACTACATCCTTGAATTTTGCGAATTTCCGTTAGATTTATGAATAAGTTTACTGGTGCAGGGCGTTGAACAATATAACAGAACAGGAGGAAATAAGCCCAGTTTAGTCCCAGAGGAAATAAGAATAGAAAACAAATTCAAAATGAAAATGATGTATTGGATACAATATCATAGATCGGAGACATAGAACAAGTAAAAACCAACCACCCGCTCAAAGTTCCAAGTAGCGTGTCGAAGGAACCGTAGCTGAGGGCATACACATAATAAAACGAAAAATAAAAAAGGTAAAAATAGCGTAAATTTAGTCTGAAATCTAAAAAGTATGGTAAAAAAGTTGCCTATAACATAGTTGTTAAGTTCGACTGATTATAACGTCTGAATGTTTAAATAATGCAAGTATGTGCATTAATTTATGTAAGTATAATAGAGAATTTTTCCAAAACTTTTATAAATTAAAATGAGCTACGTTATTTATTTATATTTTCTGGTCATTTCTTGTGCGTATAAAAAGAATGTGTAAAAAACTGTTGTCTAAATTTGAAATGTAGTGAATTTACAAAATATGATTAAATTCCTTCGTTACATACTTATTCGTACAACATGAAATAATAAATTCCGTTTGTAGTTAATCTTTTTAAAAGACAGATTTTATAGAATATTATTTTTACTTCAAACAAAAAATTGCAGTTTAACAAAACGTAAATATTCAATTTTTGTATGAGTACTGCGAAAAATATATTTTTTTTTAGAAATTTTTAGCAATTAATTAATAAATTTATATCAAATTTGCATACATAATGTTCTAAATAATTAATTACGAATCGTGCGCAAACGTCTGTTGTTTATGTATGTTGTAATCAATTTCACGTGGGATTAGGTATTGTTGAAACTAACATTAGCACTGGCTGCGTCAGTGAAAATATAGATCATCATCTGCGGTTACAGAGTAGATGGTGTCGGTACTCTTCAGAAGTGGTTTCGTTCGGCTATAAATCACATGCAGCTTGATTATACGTGTAATAGTTTGGTCGAAGATAAATCACTCATCTCTCCGCGTAGACACATCCAAATTACGGGTTTCCGAGAAAATCACATGCAAACATTCGAATAATTACGCATTGCGACGTATGCGAATCACATTGATTTTCATTATAGAAGAAGATGAAAACCGTCTCATGCAAAATCTGCATTTTGATGTAAACGAATCTCATAGATTTTTATTATAGAAATATCCAAAACACACAGAAAAACTCTTGCAAACTTTCGAATAATCCGCATTTGGAAGAAAAACGATTCTTCATAGATTTTTTTATTATACAGAAAGATGTTTGTTGTTGCCAAAGAAATAGTGGTATACCTGCCATGGGATATGGTGGAGTGTTGTTGACCAGTAGAGCGGTGGAATCCGGAGGTGGTACAACATCCTCACGAACCTCCACCTCCATGCCTTGAGAGGAACCGCCGTGGCCCACCTCCCACTCTGCAACAGAAAATTGCCAAACTACTGAAAAAAACACGAGATTAATACTTGATGCTTGCACAAGTTACATAATTTGCGTAGAAATACAGCATTCACTATACAAATACAAGACCTAGTTCAGCGTTTCCTTGATATAACGCGGTCTACTCGAAAAAAGCTCTAATTCTACATATTGTGATCTTCTTTAACGCTGTTTGTTATCTAAGAACGCAGCCAAAGCGTTAATAATTGCTGTTTACAGAAGTTACACAAATTAATCGAAATCAATATGTGATTCCTATGTAAGTTAAAAAAAGTATTGCAATATCAATACTTAAAGTATTCATAAAGTTCATATTTAAAAATTTATATTAATTGCTTGGAAATTTCTTGCGCAATTGGTATAATTGAGCAGAAACAAACGTTCCTTTATAAAACCAGACGCAATACTTGCGTGGAAATATAGCATTCAATATACAAGACCTCGGTCTACTCGAAGCCTAAGAGAAGCTCTCAATCTACTTAATCTGACTTTGGTTAAATCTGGAAATATAATTGACAAATTCGGGATGAATTTCAATTTGTTTTCTGTGAAATTTTACATAATTTTCACAAATATTCTATACTTAATCTGACTTTGGTTAACACTGTTTGAAGTTTAGGAAGCATTTGTTGTCTAAGCTTTAAGAAGGTAGTAAATTATGAATATTATTTCATTTAGATTTCAAATTTTAAAAAGGAATTTTCTTATGAGTTTTTATAAAATCTTGCAATAAAATGACTGAAAAAGACATGAGATTAATAATTGCTGCTTACAGAAGTTACATAATTTAGTCAAAATCAATATGTGATTCTTATGTAAGTTAAAAAAAAGTATTATAATATCAATACTTTATTGACAAATCATAATAATAATACATGTTGACAGATTGGAAATATCGCAATGAAATTTCCTGAATAATTTGTTTAATTGAGCAGAAACAAACGTTCCTTTATAAGGATATACAGCATTCAATATAAAAGACCTCGTTCTAACACGGTCTACTCAAAGCCTAAGATAAGCTGTAAATCTACTGTAACTTTGTTTAACGCTGTTTCGCTTAGCGTTTGTAGTCTAGGAATCACTTGTTGCCTAAGAACGTAGCCAAGGCGTTAAACGAGGTCTTATTGTAATTAGGTGGTAAATTATGAATATTATTTCATTTAGATTTCAAATTTTAAAAATATTTTTTCTTATGAATTTCTACAAAATATTGCAATAAAATGACTGAAAACGACATGACATTAATATTTGCTGTTTGCAGAAGTTACATAAATTAATCGAAATCAATATGTGATTCTTATGTAAGTTAAAAAAAGTATTGTAATAAATGTTTTAATGAAGATTTTCTATAATATATGAAAAATGTGTTAATATATAGATGTAAAATTTGTTGGTCCATAAATATAGAAAATTTACATAATTTTCAGAAAACTTCTTTTTTTTTCAATGATCATGCTTATAATTTCTAAACATTTAGATTTGATGACGCACCAATACAAATCAAATAATAATCTATATTCTTAAAAAAAGTCGTCATAAAATGAACTTTAGTAGTTGTTCGTAATAAATAATACAGCTGAAATGAATATTTGATTCTTATATAAGTTTAAAGAAAGTAATATCAATACTTTATTGAGTTCATAATTAAAAATTAATTTTGATTGCTTGAAAATTTCGCAATGAAATTTCTTACGTAATTGGTTTAATTGAGCAGAAACAAACGTTCCTTTATAAGGCACCAGACGCCTTAAATTACAGCTTTTGAATACTTTCCGAGTTTCTTGCTTTGGTTTAAATCGTTCGTCCTTTCTGCAGCGAAGTGAAAATAGCAGAAAGGAAATGCTGTATTCGAGGGTGAGAGTTGTAGTAGAAGAGAAAAAAATATAATCGAGACTTCACAGTTCGATTGGGGAAATTGTATTCTTGCGCAAATCGCAGTCAGGTGATTTTGCATATGGGACACATAAAAATTTAAATTGCGTTTTTTTTGTCAGTTGTAACGTCGAGTGTTCGGGATTTATGGGTCCATCAATCTGGAAATATATTTGGCAGCTGAAAAATCGATTGTTTTCAATTTTTTAATTGTTTGAAATGAAATAAGGACAGCATATTTTATATTTTTTTTTGTTAAAATAAAAATTAATTATTTAGAAGAAAATAGATGTTTTTTTCTGGAAACTGCTTAAAATTGGTATATTTGAATTACAATTATGTATTAATATATTAAATTGTTTATTTGTGAAAATGTTCATGGTTATAAAGTTATCTTTTATTGAGAAAGAAATAGCTTGGAAGATTTTCAATATATGAACAATTTGATAATATAAGTTATTTGTCCTTAAATCTGGAAATATAATTGACAAATTCGGGATGAATTTCAATTTGTTTTCTGTGAAATTTTACATAATTTTCACAAATATTCTATACATGTAAATGTTAAGCATATAGAAAAAAAAACTTTTTTCAAGGATAATGATTATAATTTCTAATTATTGACAGCTATAATAGGACTTATCAACACTTTAAGATTCAAATAAACATACATACATACATACATACATTCATATAAAAATTGTATATAAATATTTCATGTATTTTTAAATTCAGTTTTTCAGAAATCCATATTATAAATTATTTAGCTAAAATGTTAGCTGCAGTAATTCTTAACAAAAATATTTACTGGCATGATGATTCATGTAGATTTATATGAATATATACAAATGTGATATTCGTAAATTTTCTATGTATTCATTAATGACATTAATCTGAATTTGATAAAAGCATAGTCCGGATATAACGTTTTTTACATTCATTACTGACAACAGTTTATTCTTATTTTTGGATTTATAATATTTAAATTATTTGTAATAATGAAAAAAATAATAAAAACAGAATAATTTACTCCTGTAATTTAGATTAATGACATATAGATTGCGCCTCTATCGATAAATCCATATGATTTTTATGAAGTACGGCGCCTGTCAAAATTTAATGGCAATCTGCCGTTTAGTTCACAATTTACAGTGGTTTTAATGACCCTACTTTTGTAATTTTCAACAGAATGGAAAAATCTGAATTTCGTATGTTGATAAAACATTGATGGAAAAAGTACCGTTAAAGCAAAGCAATGGCTTGATGTGTGTTATGGGGACTCTTCTCCGTCGAAACAAATGATATAGAAGTGGTTTGCTGATTTTACACGCTGTCGTACAGACACAAATGATACTGAACGCCCAAATTCGGCAATTGTTGCAGAAAACATAACAAAAACCGTGAGAACTTGCATGAACATTTTGCATGAACATTTGATGAAGCAGGAATTTAATATTAATCTCCTATTTGTATAATTGTATTATTTACTATGAAAAACTACATTTTTTTTTAAGAACATTTTCTATTCAATTTTTGTAGATATTTACGATTATCATTCATGAGATCAAATTTTTGGAAAATTGTCTCATATTGATGTGTGATAACCTTCATAAAAAAACATTTTAGGAATGTTTGATTACTTTTTGATTTGTAATTCTGTTTTCTTCAAAGAACGTGCAGACTTCTTCTAATTTCTGAAAAAGTAATACAAATCAATTTATATAATTGAATTATTATGTATTTCTGTTAATTTGTTAAGCTGTAAAAGTTTTTGTTTATGTCTGCAAATCTTAACACTTACTGGAATCAATAAAATTAATATGATTTTCTAATTATTGGATGACTCTAAGATGAGGGAGCCTGACAGTAAAATCATCATTTGTATTTTCTAATTATTATTTGATGATGATTAGTTTTTCTTCAGGTAACAATTAAATTCATATTGTGTATTTGCATCGTTTTTTTTTCCTTTTATTTTTCGGCCATCTATCTCACATGAGACAATGAACTGGACTGGTGACAATTAAAACAAAAACAAAAAAATATAAAAAAAAGTCAAGGGATTGGTCCAGTAACCAACCTTAACATAATCACTTTAAAGGCACATGCACGTACAGTTGTAATAGTATTGTTTAATTATAATAACATTACTAATAAATTTACATAATAAGAGAGAGAGGCGGAAAGACCTCGGTCGTTTGCCCTATATCAATATATATATTTTTTATTTTAGAATGTACTTTTTTATTCTTATTCATTCATGTTTGGCCAATAAATTATTATTATTATTACTTTAGATAATTAAATAAATCAAACATTTCTAACTTGATTTTTTTTACATACTCATTGTAAACATTATAAAATATTATTTGTATCTTTGTAAAAGTTGTATTTATTAACGCATGTAATAAAAAATTCTTTAAGAAATACGAAACAAATAAATTAATAAAAAAAAATCTTTATTAGTCACCAATTGTAACCAAAGGGCTATCGACCTAAGTCTTTCCGCCCAGAGACACAATAAAATATAAATTGTAACAAAAAAAAAATAGCGTTATGAAAAATGTGTAAGAAACCATTTTTTTTCAAAATTTACATTCAAGTTATTTATTTCATTGAATATAATAGATAAAATAATTAAACATAATAAGATATTTTTTTAAATAATCATTGTGAAAAAATAAATTGTGAAAAGTAGTTTTAATTATTATAAATTGATAATTTGTAATTATTTGCAAAGATTTTAAATATTTACAAAAAAAAATAATGAAGGTTAAAATATTCAAATATATTTGTTTATAATAAGCAACGAGCAATAAAATGGGAGGATATTGTAGGTAAATAATATATCTAAGTTGAGTCTTTATCGAAATCCCGACAATCAAATTTACGACATTAGAAATCCCGACAACCATAATCGCGATATATGTTATAGGCTTATTCATAATAAACCTTATTAATAAGAAATAATCTAAAATACAATTAGATTATAGCAAATAATAAACAAAATCACGTATGCCGAATTTAGTGAGAATATTTAATTATCAATATAAACAAAGCCCTAATCACAACTCCCACACCGTAATAATAATAATTTGCTTTGTAAGTAGATTTTGATACTGTCGGGATTTTGACACTGTCAAGATTTTGATACTGTCGGGATTATGGTTGTCGGGATTTCGATTGCTACCGATCTATAAACGTAAACGTATGCTTATTTACAAAATGTGCAAAATTTACATGATCTGTATACCGGCGTGCACATATCCATCGAAAATGGAGGGGTCTCTGGTTGTCGGATGAATATTATTCCGGACACGGCTTCCGGTAGTGCGTGGCTCCAGATCCTGGGCCCCCAGTGTGTGATCTGAAATAACAGAAAATAAAAACAAAAATTATAATAAAATCTCAAAAACAAACTTTTATTATAAATAAATGATTTAATTAAATTGAATATTTACATTACAATAAAACATTCAGACGTAAAATTCAGCAATTTTTTTCGTATATAAATTATTTCATTAATTTCATAGAAACAACATTTTAAACTTTATTTTGAAAAAAAAAAACACTGTTTTGACCGCGTTTTCATCACATTAAAGTCGAACATCGTCTTAACTTCTCAACAACGGTTTTACAAAACTTTTACTTATGGGAATTTTAGATTTATGTGCCAATGATCTTAATGTGCAGAAAGGAATTATGGAAATGTTTTGAATCTGTTGACTATAGTTTTTTTTGGCATACGTCTACACTTTATCACATTGTTAATTTTATACACTTTAGTTTGTTTATATAATTTTGAAATTATGGAACCTCGCACTTCTTTTGAGTCTGATATTTTGAAAAATTCGCTTGCGATCATTGAATATTTTCATAATTTAATGCAATCATTATTTTTTTAACGCTCAAAAGAAAACAAAATATCTTCTTTGTAAATACATAAAAATACAGATATTATTTGTATGTAACATAGTTATAAATCTACATGTAAAATGTACTTCGTAAATTAAAGCACCGCTGAATTCGCGCTCTGCTAATGAATAAAATGAATGGAGCAAATAAAACGTGATGAGGCTCAGCCGCTACTCGACAATTTAATTAAAACTAATTTCATCACAACTAAATTGTATTTTATTTCTATTTTTATTTTGTTGAAATCAATAAATTTTCCGAAATCCAATTTTTTACGCAATTATTTATATGCAGAATCAGCAGAAATCTAAACTAAATTTATTAACAAATATATTTTTTTTTATAAAAAACAATCAATCAGAATTTAAATAATTATTTGCTTCTAAATTCAATTTTAAACAATTGTTTATATACAAAATCAACAGAAACCTATATTAAATTTATTAACAAATATTTCCTATGTCGGAAAATAGTTGCTACATTGCCTAAGAAGCAAGAAAATTTGGAATTACTGAACAAATTTTTCTTAACTCAAAAAGGAAACATATATAAATCATAGATACAAAATTTTCATCACATTTTATAGAAGTCATCGTCTTAGCTTCTCATCGATCAATAAAGGTTTTACATAATAAAGTTAGAAGCTTTCTTAATTTCTTTTCAATCTGTAGTGGGACATTTTAGATTCATATACCAATGATCTTAATGTGCTTCTTTTGCAGAATGGAATTGTGGAAAAGTTTTGAATCTGTTGACTATAGTCTTTTGGCTTACGTCCCCACTTCTATTTACAAGAATCAATGTTAATCATCACATTGTTAATTTTACATTGATTTGTTTGTTTCTACAATTTTGAAATTGTGGAACCTCGCACTTGTTTTCAGTTTTCGCTTGCGATCATCATTATTAAATTCTCCATACATTATTTTTGTCTCGATGGTATTTTTAAGTTTTAGTTAGTTTACAGCGGTTAAATAATTAAGTATATAAGATTTTAAACAAAATTAGGTCATCGCGCACTTAGATTCAGTAAAAATTTGATAAATATGTTAAGAGAAATAAATTAACTTAACTATTTCCAATAATCTGGACGTAAAAGTGAAATTTCAGATAGAGGAAGTAATTATTTTTAGAAAAAAGAAATCACAATTTAATTCTGTTTAAATAATTTATTTTTTTTATCGAATTTTAAGCAAATTTTTATGCAAAAATCTGTGAAAACCCGTCGCATGTATCAACCGTGATGATGGCTTGTTTTGTTAACTAAATTTATTGTTGAATAATTCATATTAGAAGAAAAAAAATGTAGCTAAAAAGGATTTATATACATTTTTGGATGAGGCGACGGAATGCGAATGGGGATTTATCAACTTATGTATTCATTACAGTTTAACGGGTCCGAACGTTAATCAATAGCTGTCGCTGGTATTTAGAGGTATTCATCAGAGGTTTCATGTATACTTTTTTTCTGTTTGTTATAACCATACTCTCACCGCGTCTGTGTTTGCATATTGGACCCGGTGATGGATTTAACGTTTTGGCTCTATTCCAGACACCGATTTTCCATTGCTCAACTCTACAAAACCGCAGACATTCATTTTTCATTACTTGAAAATTCCAATTCTTGTATTCTATGAAAGTACATGCCAGTAGGTACGTTGGAAAGGTGGTACTTTCAGCTGTAAATTGAATATTTGATGGTCTAATTAGCTTGAAAGGTTATTGAAAAATTCAAGAGTATGTAAAAACATCGAAAATCGTTATTTTTTGATTACGTAATTAAATGCCCAACGAGGGCGCAATGATAAAATATAAAATAGATTCATATATTTTGAGTAATTCAAGTGTGTTATTAAGGTAATTTGAAAATGTCCATTATATTGGGATTTTAATAAAATTTGGCACGATATTTGGATATTTTTCAGGAACTTTCAGATTTTTTTCAGTGCACTTATTAAAAAATATGTCAGTCTCCAGTATAATAAGATTCTTATTGAATTATATTATATTATATATAATTGTCCTGAGTGGAGTTAATGAAAATGTGAAGACGTTAGTTTTCAGCTTACAAAATTGAGATACTTGTAGTTTGTAAACCAAGCATCTTTTTTTTTTGTCTATTTTCTAAAACAAAAATAATAATCAGGATTCACATTACTTGTTTAATAATAAGCAAATGCCTCATTTATTTTTTTTGTTTTCAATATAAACAAAATTTCGGTAATTTTCAGGACCTTTGAAAAGCAAAATATGAATTCTTGTATTATATTCAGTCGGCTCAATCAAAAAATGTCAGTCTCCAGTTTAAATGTTTTAGATGTTTCAGCTTTCAAAATCAAGATATTTGTACATTTTGCAGTTTGTTTACAGAAATTATATTCAGAATTCACATAATATTTTTAATAATAAGCAACGCCTCATTTCGTTATTTTCATTGCCGCCGGTAAATAAACAAAGTCTGCGATAAATGTTCAGCATAAATAAATAAAGAAACACCTTTGTCGAACAAATATTTGCTCGTCGTCCGGATTTAATTCTAGATTTCAAAGCGACGGCTGAGGAATTAATAGGAGCGACGATGCCATCAAAAGCCCGATCTCCGAAAATGATAATATTTTGGCAGGACGGACGTTTTAATTTGAATTCGCAAATCCTTTGGAAACAACCAAAAATAAAAGCAAAAAAAAGAGGATGCAAGGAAAAACGTGGTATAATGTTCCGAAAATGTAAATGCTTTATCTATCCCGACGCATTACGTACGGTGCTCGAATAATTTCAGGAGTTTCAGCGTAAAAAAAATATATGTCTAGCTCCAGTTTATGCAAAACTGGGATGGTATTACTTCTGGTATCAAATGGACCGAGCCACGTATATATCCTAGTGTAGTATTGAATATGATATAGCGTGCAATTCACGCTACATCGAATTCTACTTAAACCTATAAACGTTCGTGAATATTTATAGATGTTTCGCATCGAAGCAAGTGCTACGACTTATTATATAATTCTTCATTTGAAACGTGTCAAAACTTTGAAAAATGCACAGTTTTATAATATTAATATTTAATAAGAACTTTTTAACATTTGATACGGAAACAATTTTATTGTGACATAGTCACGTTTGATAAATGATATTTTTCTTCTGAGAAAAAATCAAAAAGTTTTAATAAAATTGTTAGTCAAAATAGGTTCTTTTGATGATAGAAACACATGTTACCGTTTAAATAATTGACTTTAACATTTTTCAAATTTTGACTACTCATCTAGATATTTAGTTTTATTTTTTCTTATTATCTGGAGTTTATATTATATTTGTTGCAATAAATAATCTTATTATTTCTTCAACATTTAATAAAAGCAACATTTTGTTAAGTAGAATCAAGTGAAGTAACAACTAATTTTCTATTTGAAATATTTCAAAACATTATTATAATATTAATATCAGATAAGAACTTATTATCAAATAATACATAGATTTTAGTTGTCAAATTGGGACTCCTATACTAGTTTTGTAAGAATATCGTAAGAAATATATGTTACTAACTATACCTTCAAAATGTTGAACCATTAATTTCATGTTCTATAATCAGATGATTTAATATAATTTAAGCACTTTTTATTTTTTTGTTAATTTTATATAAACTAATTTTATCGGCAACTGTCGCCTACATCGCCTACAATTTAATACTTTTTGTTTTCTTTTGTGGAAAATAATTTTTATAAACTAAAAATCCTAGACAATAGTGACACCCTCCACATACTAAAGAGACACAACACTCTCTACCTCCCCTTTAGAAACTAAAAGTTAGTTTGTTTTATTGTTCATTAGTATTGTTCAATTCTTTTTTTCTTTTTTGTCAAAAGAAACAAAACTGTTCATCTCGTTGCCAAAATTGTGGCAGATTGTGAATGATTAAAAATAAAAAAAAATAAAACTTAAAATACAAAAACAAATCGATTTAACATAAATATTTTACAAAATTAAGAGTACATAAATTATAATTAAATGTAAAAATTAAATCTTACTTCCTCAAATCTAATTATATCCAAAGTTACTATTTGATTATCTGTTTAATTTTGAATTTTATATAGTTATAATTAATGTATATCATCACAGAAATAAATTGTATTAATATAGAACATTAAGATTTTTTCCAAATAGTTAGTAACTGTGTAAACTGTTTGTGTACTTATGGTTAATACCAAGCGCATGGTCTCGAAGTAGGGTTTATATAAAAAACCGACTTTATAAAATTCTAATTTCAACTTGTCTAAAAGTTTACCCAATTTCTAAATTTCCGTATAAAATATACACAGAAATATATTTACAACTTTGTACAAAATAATAAAAAATATATCAAAAGAAAACTTACAAACTGTAACAAGATAAACGTAGCTTTAAATGACTATAAATAGACAACATTCTCTCATTTTATAACTGCACTAAAACGTC